TGAGAGCCCCTTAGTGTCCAGATGGGGCAACGTGGTCCTCACCCTGGAAGCAGGAATGTTAAAGGCCTCCGGCTTGCCGCCGAGCGCGCCTGGGTGTGCAGACACATGGCCAGCCCTCCCCGCCGCCCATCATGTCTCGTGCCCACCACCTCCGCTGCCGCACCTTGCAGCCCCTGCCGGCCCTCTCCAGTCTGGGGCCCTCTGAGCAGTCCTGTGATGCTGTTCCCTACAGACAGCTCTGCGGCCTAGGGGCTGAGGTCCAGTGGAAATGGCCTGCCCGGTGAGAAGACCAGCTCCTCCCTGTCCTGCCTGTATGTGTGTGCTAGGGCTGCTGTAAAAAAGTGTCACCAGCTGAGTGGCTTCAACAGCAGAAATATATCGTCTCGCAGTCCTGGAGGCCGGAAGTCCAAAGTCAAGATGCTGGGAGGGCGGCTTCCTTTGGGAGCTGTGGGGGAAGATCTGCTCTGGGCCTCTCTCCTTGGCTTGTAGGTGCCACCTTCACACTCGTGTGGCATCTCCCTGCGCGTGTGCCTGTCTCCACATTTCCCTTTTCACGCATGACACCAGTCATCCTGGATTGAGGCCCATCCTAGTGACCTCATGTTGATGTGATCACCTCTGCCAAGTCCCTGTCTCCAAGTAAGGTCACATTTTGAGGTACTGGGGTTTGGACTTCAACATATGACTGGGGGTGGGGGCAAAGGGACATAGTTCAGCCCACAATACCGTCCTAGCCCGGAACTCTGCTCTCCGCTCTCTGCCCTCTGGTCTCTGCCCTCTGCTCTCTGGTCTCTGGTCTCTGCTCTCTGCCCTCTGCTCTCTGCCCTCTGGTCTCTGCCCTCTGCTCTCTGCCCTCTGGTCTCTGCCCTCTGCTCTCTGCCCTCTGCTCTCTGCTCTCTGGTCTCTGCCCTCTTCTGCTCTCTGGTCTCTGGTCTCTGCTCTCTGCCCTCTGCCCTCTGCTCTCTGCCCTCTGCTCTCTGCCCTCTGCTCTCCGCTCTCCCGTGATTCTCAGTGTCCGCAGCCCTGGGATCCCGTACGTTGCCCTGAGAACGGAGCCAGAAATCAGGCCTGGATTCTGGCCCGAGCACTGTCTCCAGCTAGTGCCTTTTCCCTGAATTGTCATTTCACTTCTCTGAGCCTCAGTTCCTGAAACCAAAATGGAAGAAATAATTTCTGCTTTGCCTACTTCACAAGCTACTTACCGTGTGCACGCGATAAGACAGAGAATATGACAGCGTCCCACAAACGTGAAATAATACACTGCATCATTATTATTGCCAGTAATAATCAAGGAATACCAAGGCTAGAAAAAGTCCCATCTGCACCCTCTGAAACTGAAGGAAACCACGCCATTTATAATGCCATCCCTTTTTAATCCTCCCAAGAGGAAATCCGATGACATTCCCGCGTCTTCTGTCCCAATGAATCACAAGTCACGCTCCCTCTGCAGCCGTCCTCACCCAACCTAAACACGCCGTGCTGCACTGAAGCCACCCATGCGCTGGCCCAGGCGGGGGAGAACCCGGCCTGCACGGTGGGTTCCGGTCGGCCTTGTCCTCAAGTCAGCGGCCTGGTCCCAAGTGCTTGCCGCGTGCCAGGCACCACGCTTGGGACTGGGGGCCCAGAGACGGAAAAGGCACGATCCTGACTTTTCTGTTGTTCGAAGTCCAGAGGCGAGGAGTTCCCGGGGCACACACTCGCCTTCTCCCAAGAAACATACCTGTTCCGGTCAACGTCTCCCTGCACGGGCCGTGTTCCTCAGCCTTCATTCTCCTCGGACAGCGCCCTCCCCACCTGCCGGTGACCCTGGACTTCTTTCCTCTGAACTTCCCTTGTAAGCCAGGACTTTTTTCGTGTTAATGATTTTCCATGGACACCTTCCGGGCACGTGAGTGATTCCGCTACGATAAAGCCAAAGACGGCAGCCCCAAAGCCTACTTGGAGAAGACCAGTCATCTGTTCCAGAATGGGCCTCTGTGATCTGACCCTGCCATCCCTCTCAGTGCCATGTGACAAGGTGACAGTCTGGTGGCTGGTCTGCCTCACAGAGAGAGACGCCTGTTCTTCCTGTCGTAGTCTGTCGTCCCGCCCTAACAGCCTGTTAGCTGGCCTTGGTGGAGTCTCCCAGAGCCAAAGCGGTTGCTTCCTGTGTCCTCCTCCTTTCGACGTCCCCCACCTCCCCTCGCGGTATCCAGACACCCTCCCCTGCCCCGTGTCAGTCCCTACTGGCTTGCTCCCTCCTGTAGACCCAGTGACCTCCAGTTTAGCTCTGCAAATCTCTCCAAAGAACATCCCAAATTTTCATGTATGGGAAACCAGCTTTCATGTCTGGAAAACTCACTTCACTCATCTTCCAACCTGCCCGTTCTTGCAAAGATGCCGGTGGCTCCTTCCTACTTCGCAGCAAAGACTCGGTCAGACAGCCCTTGCACTTAATAAATTTCTGCAGTGTGCTTATTAGCACCTTGTAATGTAGCCGCCTGAATAATTAAGACTAACCCATACGTGTCAAATTAAATGAGCCAAATACATCGAGAAATTGCCTTGCCCTCGATTTCTTTTATTAATCAGGATTTTTTAAAAACTTCTTTTCCTGCTCCTCCGCAAAAATCAAACATGGTCAGTGAGACTCTTATGATCCCTGGTGATGTGCAGCCTCTCCTTGGGCAGCCCTCCCGGGACGGGGTGGAGGCTCCAGTCCGTGGCATAGGAGAGGTGGAGTCGGGGTGGTAGAGATAGTCTACACAGATGATCCAGATTCAACAGGCTGCTCACACTCTCTAAATCTTTAGGGAATTGTTCCCCTTCCACTTGCCTGAGAGTTCAGGGACTATCTAGAAACAACTGGAACACTGGCCTAAATGCATCCAGCATCTCCTCCCCTCCCTGCTCAGTGCTCCCCTCGGCTCCCTCCTGGGCTCAATCAGGAACCGAAACTCCCTGTCTCGTTAGGAGCCACTGCTGATGTGCTTTAGATGGGCATAAGAAGTCAACGGCAAATATGGTGGGGATCGTCGGCAATCGTATCTTGCTGATGGTGAACAAGACGCATGCAGTTACAGCGGGCTGGTTCCCTCTGCCTGTCGCCAGCACGATGGGCTTCAATGCAGTCCCGTCCAGAGGCCGTTGTCCTCAGGAGCTCGGTGCCTCCTCACAGCCTGTGCTTCCGCTGGCGCCCTCCTGGCAGGCTGCATTCCTGCCTCCTGACGGTGGTTGTTAGAAAAAATCCACAAATATAGTAAGTGAACATCAAAGGGGCTTTGATCCACTCGGCTCGACAGAGCGGGAGCCCCTGCAGAAAGGGCCGAGGCCTTGGATGGGGGAACTTAACATCGTCAATTTGGGCGCCCGAGATGCAAGGCCGTTTGAAATGAGGGCGGCTGGGGGGTGTGGAGGGGAAGGAAGAGAAGTGGGTGCCTCTGGAACGAAGCCCTCAGATCCGCTTCTCTGCTCTTCACTGATAGCCAATAAACCCCTTTAAAGAATCGGGAGATCAAAGCTAGTGACCTCCCTGGGCCGTGGCATTCTGCCACTGCCCCACACTTTGTTTTTCTCTAGGGCCAGCGCCCCCAAGCTTGACCTAGCCGTCTCTCGTGGGCCCTGTGCTCCTTTCATCCTGCGGTGCTTAGCGAGAGGACCTGGGCTGCACAAGGCGGAGAGGGAGTGGGAGGAACGACCCGCTCTGTCTGTCCTCTAACGGCCTGGACACCGGCTAGGCTCACGGGGACACCCAGTGTCTTGGGAGAAGGTGCCATTACACCCACTCAGGCGGACCCTCCTGAGAAACCAAGGGAGGGAGCAGTCAGGTCCGAGAACTCCTGGCAAGGCCTGGGAGGAGCTACAGTCAGGTTCCCACTTCCATAAATCACACCCCTCAGTCGCGCGCCCGGTTTGTGGCAGGGGTCGCCTTCGCAGGACTTCTAAGCAAGGGGGTGGGGGTGGGGAGTTTCAAATGATCACGGGGAGTCCTTTAACAGCACCGAGCCTCGGTTTTCCTATCTGCGTAATGTGACTCGCAGCAGCCTGTCTGCCTACCTCATGGGGCTGTTCGGGGGGCTGTGGAAATAAAATTTGGTGTGGAATTGCTTCAGAACTCACAAGATGCTTAAAATAAATTGGAACTAAAGAATCAATACCAGAGAGGACCTTGCCTTCCTGTGAAGCAGATATATACTCCAGTCCCGCCTTCAGACACAATGGGCACTGCTTTACAAAATATGTGCGAAAAAAGAATCATCTCTTTCATTCACTACCTCGAATTGTTCTATCAAGTTTTTCCACTTGGGGCAAAGCCCTGTGGAGCCTTGTGTCTCTTAGCTGTCCCAACCCCTGTGCTGTGAGCCTGCACCTCCTAAGTGCTCGATGGTACTAAATCGTACCTTGTTAGAGAAATGTACAGAATTTCCGGCCCTGAAATTCACCTCTCCAAAAGGTGGAAGAGTCCTTCTCCCTATACTTCGACCTCTGTGTCAGCCCCCAAACTCATCTAGTCTCTTCTTCATCCTTCCGAGTCACCACTGTGCGTGGCTGCATCGTTCCAGCCCGGACGCCGCTGCCTGGACTCCGCAACCACTCTGGCAGGTCTGGCCGCGTCCCAAGGAGATCTGGGCGTGTTCTCCAAGCCCGGGGTATAAAAGGCCTCAATAACCCAAAGTAATAGCTATGAGCATGGACTCTGGAGCCAGACCGCCTCGGTTTAAAATCCTGGCCCCACCACCAGCTAGCTGTTTCATCTAAGGCCACTTAATAACACCTGTAAATGGAGATGATAAAAAATGGGGTAATAATGGTATATATTGCATAGGGTTGTTGTGAGGATCAAATGAGGAATGATTGGCTTAAAATTAGGCCTGGAACATAATAAGCACTATATAGATGTCGGTTAAATAAAGAAGTAGCCCTGTTCATAAGAGCAACAAGCTTTACAGCCCCCTACAGAGGGGCTTCCCCTAATGCCTGACTGTTCCCAACTCACCCACCTGTGCCTCTCTTCCAGAGCTGGGCCTCCAGAAGAGAGGATGCTGTCTGGTGCTGGGCTACATGGCCAAGGACACGTTCCGGAGAATGAGTGAAGGTCAGTGAGAACCGCCCCACCGTCTCGGGTAATCTGGAGGGAGGAAGCTCTCTCCTACAACTACGGTGCAGAGGAACCGGGAAAACGAACGTGGGGTATCTCAGGAATCAGTTTGATTTCCACGAAGCTATTTATGCAATAACGTGGGGAAGAGCAGTGAACGCCTGACACACAGGATGCTGATTCACGAGCCCTCTCCTTATGCTGTCGTCCCTCCTCCCTTGCGGCCCCCGCTTCTCTTCCTCTCTCTTCCCTGCTGTTTTTCCCACCCACTCCGCAGCCCAATTAAATCTGCTTCCATTGTCTTTTCTGATCCAGACCTCTGTGCCTTCCTCCTCAGTCATTCGTATTTCCTGAATGCCTCTGGAACAGACGCTCTTGACAGGCACGTGGGGGAACAGGGGGGAGCACCAAAGAGGGCAAGGCAGTGTCTTCACTCCCAGAGAACCTGCATTCGGAAACCTTCCCCTTCCAACTGCATGGGCCTACCTCTCCCTCTTACGCACGGCCCACTCTGCCTTCCTCTTGCACTGGGCCTGTCTCCCGGGGCTGGACTGGGTCACCGAGGGCGTGGGGAAGGCATCGACACTGGCGCGGAGGCTGGGGTGTCAGCGGAGTGCTGTCACTCGTGGTCCTGCTGTGGTCGAGAGTCAGGTCCTCTTCCTCCGGAGCCATCTGTCTGTGCAGCGAACACCCCTCTCCATCAGATGCCGCCGACCGTTTGTCAGAATGCAAAAGGAGATGAACAATGGCTTGGAATGCCATTTATTCATTAAGTCAGACACAGGAAGCCTTGGCTTCTCACCAGTCAAGCTTGCCATGAGCTGGGCCCTCCCCTCCCCATGGCCCCTCGTTCCCTCCCCAGGCAAGGAGGCAGCTTCCCTCCACCAGCGCTAGAGTTAGACCACGGCATGGTTTCAGTGCCTCTGCATGCTCCTGGCTGGCTCTCCTCCCGGCCTGGTCCACGACGCCACCCCCCCATGTGCTCCCCAGACCTGAGACCTTGCCAGCCATGGGTCTGTCACCAGCACCCATCATGGCGACAATCTGGCAAGAGCGAGGCCGGCACAACTAAGCACAGGAAGTGATCACCTCCACAGTTTGCTGCCTGTCCGTGTTGGAAAGCAGCGGCCCCCAGGAGCCGCTCCCCGTTTGTGGCCAGCTCCCCATGGCCCAGCAAAGCCAGGGCTGGGGCTGCACTTTCTGCTTCCTGCCAGTCAGCCTCTGTCACTGACTTTTGCCGTTCCCAGCCACCCCCTCCCTTCCCAACACCGCCTCCTTGACAAGATTGCTAGGCAGTAACTCCTAATTTGTGGGAACTGACAGCCTGCCTCTGTCCGTGGTGCTGAATAGACACGTTCTCTTGCTGGCAAAGCTCATTAGAGAAGCTGAACAAGGTTCCTCGGGATTAGGCGAGTCAAAGAGTCAGGAGCTGGGCTGGATCTGAAACCCCAGGCTCCAGGCATCTGACCCCAGCTTCTAGGTGACCCAGGAGACGAGAGTGTGGTGAGCAGGCTGAGCCAACGCGGGTGACAGGTTAGAAATCTCAACTAACAAAGCGGAGACGGGATACGGAGAGGGTGAGACGGTGGGGTGGAGGAGGGGCGCACAGGTGGGTCCGCTTTGTCTCTGGAAGGCAGAAGCAAGGGAGGGGGCAGGCCCTGGACGGGGAAGCCCCTCTGCGTCTCTCCAGCCGGCCCGGCTGCCACGGCGCCACATTACACATCACTCTCTCTCTAACGCGCACGTGCCCATAGCCCAGCACGTCTGCAGGTAAGAAACGGCGTCAGCAAACACGGGGAGCTGTCTTATAGCTGTTATAATTATCTCATACCAATACCCAAAATAATTATAACTTCTGCATATTAATAATTGAACTGGAAAAGCAGCAATGACATAGATCAAGAGACAGAAATCTCTGTCCGTGGGTCATAATACACCTTGGTATAAATTGAACAATTGGTAAAATAGTAAAAAATAATTATTTTTCTCCCAGTTGCTGGAATTAGTGAGATATTAGAACAATTAGCTGCTTCTTCCGTTAGAGATACGGTGGTGATCATCATATTTCCAATTTAGAATAAATATAAAAGACCTACTTGTGCCGTATTAAAGCATATTTGTCCTGTGTAAGAGTATCTAATAGGGTGCCTGTCACCCAGAGAGAAGTGTTTCCCTACTCCATTTATTTCTCTGTTAATTTGGTGTCCTTTTATTGTCTTCTCCTTCCACTCCCCCTCCTCACTACATTCCAAAAAATAACAGCTGAGAAGGAGCAAGAGGAAAATAATGAATGAACAGCAGCTTTATAGATCTGGGGTTTATCATAAGTTAGAGTAATCGCAGTCGGTGCTGTTAAACTACACAAAGCAATAAAAAGAAAATGCTGTTCAAAGATCGTTTAAGGAGGCATGTGATAGTGAGGGAGAGGTTTTCTCCGTTTGGGAGTGCTTAATAGCCTCAGAGTCTGCAGGATTTGCAGGAACGGAGGTGGCTGGGAATAGTGAGTGTGTGTGTTTGTTCTCGCCTGTTTGGACTCAACACATTTGGGCATCACATGGAGATATGAGCAGAAATCAGTGAAGGGCAGACAAGAAAGGAGGGAATAAAGTGAGACTGGGCATAAGAATATAAGATTTGTTTGACATAATTGTCTTCATGTGATTGAGATACGGGTGCTTTGAATAGGAACTGCTGGAGGGAGATCATTTATTTATTTATCAAACTTTCATTAAATACCCTAAAAATAATGCCAGTTTTTCATAATAAGTTCTAAGCATTGTTCTAAGTCCTGGAGCTATAAACGTCAGTGAGACACAGTCCCTGCCCTCAAGGAGCTCACAATAAAAACACGCAGGCACTTCTCAGCGTGACCGTCACCTCCCGGAGAGATCCTGCCTCAGGGCCCTGCCTGAATCGGATACCCCTCCCCCGACCACGTCTCCATCGCGGCGACCAGCCGGTGGACTGTGGGCGCTGATCAGCGTGTGATGGTTGGTTAGGCTGCTTCCCTGTGCGCCGTCAGTCCCACTAGAAAGTCAGCTACGCGGCAGCCGAAGACTCTCCCTTCTTCCTGGCCTATCCCTGGGCCTCAGCCCCGTGTTTTGCACATGGGGAGTGGGATTTCTGTCTGGGTGATTACCCAGTGCCTGATGACGATAGAGGAATGTGCAGAGTCACCCACAGGTGCCGAGCGGCCTTGAGAAGGGGCTGCTCAGGCAAAGCGGGCTGACGTAGAATGTTCCGCAAAATGAGTCTGCCCGCCTCACTAACTCCTCAAGTCTTACCTCGGTGCTGACTCTGGCGCCTCCTTCAATTCCAGAACCGTTCAGTTCCAGCCCTTCCCAGCGGCCGGCCCAGGCGGGTCACAGGGCAGAGGGCTGGGAGGAGAGCCTGCCCTGGAAGCGCCTCCCTCCTTCCCCGCCTGCTCTCCTTCCTCACCCCTCGTACTGCTGGGCCATGTTCGCGGCACCTCCAACCAGGCCTCTCCCAGAGCCGCCCCCACTGTGTGCTCCGCCCCATCCAGTGCAAGCCACGCTCACACACGCACACCCCTCCCTGCCTTCCCGGCTCTCCCCTCTCTTGGGGATCCCAGAGCCGCTCACCTTCTCCGTGCACATTGCTGGCCCAGGGCTGAGCCTACGCGGAGCAGGACAGAAAGCTGCCACGTGGTGTCGTAACAGGGGCTGTGCCTGCCTGGCAGAAGCTCACTGTGCCTCTGCGTCAGAACTGCAGACAACCCCAGAGATCACAGGGCACCCGACTCACCCAGCACGGCCCAGGAGCATCGAGCGACCTGCCTGGGGCCATGGGCAGTGGCTGGAAGAGCGAGGACCACACGGCCTGGGGCTTTGGACACCCAGGGCTCTGCGAACTCTGGAGGAGGAGGCAGAGGCCACACACAGAGGGGAAGCCCCTCACATGTCAGCTTGGTTTGCGCTTTTAGGGTGGCCGGGAAGACAGAGGGACAGGGACGTGAGTCAACATGAGTTGACCTGGGAGAAAATCAGGGACGACCGGAGCGAGGGACGAGGGCGGAGAAGGCATTCCTAAGGGACGGGAAGACTGAGGCCACAGGACTCTTGAGAAGGGTGTTTAAAGGAGAAGAGGGAGGCAGCCCAGGCTTGACCTCCCCCGGCCAACCCTTGAGGCCAAGGCGGGCCTGTGCAGGGGTCTCCTCCCTCCACCGGTGGGTGCTCTCGGGCTGCCGATCCGGGCAGGGACCGTTTCCCAGGACCTGGGCTCCTCCCGGACCCTCAGAATCGCGGTGACGAGCTGCTTCTCTCAGCTCAGCGGAGGGAGAACAGAAATGCCGCCCGGCGCTGCCCCTCTCGCGCTCCCAGCACAGAACTCTTGGCGTGACTAGCAAGGGCAGCTTCCGCTCGCTGGGGACGTCTGGCCTCCTTGGGAGGGGCTGGAGCACCCCAGGAGAGAGCCGGCTGCACAGATGCTGCCCTTCAGGGGCCCCTGCCTGGCGCGCAGCCTGGGCAGCACCCTCGTCCTCGTCGGGCTCTGCGCGCGAGTGCCCCCGGCACGTGCTCCCCTCTCAGCCTGGCGGGGCACACAGAGCCCTGAGAGGATGCGGATCTGCGTCAGAAAATCCGAGTGGCAGCGTGGGAGCCTGTTCTCTCCTATGCAACCCCGCCCCGGTCCGTAGGAAAGAGTCTCAAACCTCCCCTGTTTCCTGCCCGTCCCCCAATAGAGCGGATGAGACAGAGAGGTGCGCGGAATCGGGATGCGTCGCCGAAGGGGCACCGAAGGGCGAGGCGCCAGCCACGGGAGCAAGTCCCTGCAGGCCTGATTTCAGCCCTCTCGTGCATGAAACGGAGTAATATCGGAGCATATCACCCATGGGGCTCCATCTCGGCTCTCAGCACCCCGCCCGCACCCTGCTCTCACCCCTCCCCCACGCTTTAAGTGCCTTGATCCCCAAACAAGCCAGTCCCAGGAGTCGAGCTCCGGGCTTTGCTTGGCAGCCTCCGAGGGCAGATCCCCGTTTC